CAGATCCAATGACTGGCATATTCTGCGGACTCTGAGAACCCCCCAATGCCCCCCCACACGCCACCATAACTCCAAACACACCCATACCCTCCCACAGCTGCTACTTATACCCCCACTCGCCCACTATAACCCCCCACACACCTATACCCTCCCACAGACCCCACCCCAACCACATAACCCACACCCCTCCACATCTGCCCCCATCCTACCCACCATACCCATACCTTACATATACTTCCCACCCCACCACACACATACACCCACTCCCCAACCACACAACTTCTACATTCACCCCCTTACCTCCCCCACGCACAATATACAAAAGACTGCATTTTGAGCTATTATGCAATCGCCTCTAGATGCACTATGCAAACACACACGAATCAGGACAAAAATGTTTCTTAAATGAAATTAAAATAAGTTACAATAGATATTTTATTTTTTAGTATGTATTTTGTTTTGTTTTTCTAGTTTCAAGATGGCAGCATCATCCCTCCCACAAGGAGTACTTCCAGAGCAAGGGGAGGGACTTCTGGTGGCAAAGGTTGGGGCGGGAGGGATTTCCGTTCCCAAGATGGTGACCAGAGGGTAAGACAACCACAAAGGGGCAGGGCTGCCCTAGCAGGCCTCAACAGCTCACCAAAACTCATTAAGGGGCCCTCCAACTAAAATAATTGCCCACCTTGGGCCTAGCCACTCTTTAAAGCTCTGGGGATGTTCTGTTTTTATCCCCCCTGATCCCATCCAGGCTATTTTTAGCCTCCTACATAATCCCTCCTTCCCACCTCAGACATATCAACCTCCCCTCTGGACCTGCCATCACTCCAGCAGACGCACCAAACCCCACTGGTTCCACTACCCCCCCTCTGCCTTACTTGCCTATGGGTGCCCATGCCCCCTCCTGGCTAAACTAAACCATCTAAATCTAAGCCAGATCTTGTTAATCTTTGTTCTCACCCTCAAAGTGCTACTGTAACACTGTTTCATACTGCAGTGGTATCAGTAGATGGTAGGGCCAGCCCTACCTCCTGCCTGACTTCATACTAACAACACAGCTAACCATCTCTCTGTAGTGTTATTGGTAGTAGCAGTAGTAAATGTGTAGATTAAATGCATATGAAAAAGACAATGGGTTTGTAAACAAAGAACTGTGATTGCTCTAAAGTGCTAATTATTCTTCTATCAGTCTCAATAATTTACTAATGAAGAGCCTATATAAACCCTCAAACTCTTATAAAGACTTAATAGGTCTTAGGTGGTGATTGGCCTCCAAATTTCACAGTAAGCATCAATGCTGCCACTAAACATGAGTTAGTCTACAAGGTGCCACTCTGCCCTGCTCTCTGACAGAGGTGGAGACAGTGATGGCAGAGACAATGAATCAGCGGCTCAACACTTCAGTGTGCTACAGCGGCATTATATAGAGTATAAAGGGAGGAAGAAGGCATAAAGCCAATAACCTTTCAAATACCTGGGAAATTTAGGAATCTACATACTAATTTTAGTGGATTATTTTTTATATGTATGTAAACTGTAGGTATACTTCACATGTCCATGAATGTTCCCTCACAAATATTGATAAAAAGGAGAACAGAACCCATTTTACTTAAGAATTTAGATGCAATAAGAGGAACTGACACCAAATGTAACTTTAAGTAGTACCATTTTTCTGACTTTTTTACTGTCATATTTCACTTAGAAATAAAATCAGTTTCAGTATCTGCCAGAAATGTTTAATAAGCCTCAAATTGGAAAATATAATACTAAAACAGTAAAACATTTTGATTCTTTACAGTTCACAATTTTTCTTTAAATTTAATTGGGACCAACTGGCCTCATTGCTTCTTATAAACTTAGCAATAAATATTCTGAAAAAAAAATAAAAATGAACAGATGTTTTTCCTTAGAGAAGTCAGACAAAGATTTTTCTTACACAATAAATCAGCAATGGATTTCCAGGACACCACTCTAGGATAACTGTTTAGGTATGGCCTTAAAATACACACACACACTGACTTACCTCTGTATGAATCCAAAACTGATAAAGAAGATTAAACTGTAGATGAACAGCACATACTGATGGAGGAATAATAAGAGCCATAGGCAAGTAGAACACCTGAAAAAAAGGGAAAAGAAAATGTATATTTATTTATGACTCATTTTTTTAAGCCATGATAAAATACTTCTATTAGATACCACCAACTCTCTCATAGCCTTCTACAAAGTTTAGTGAATGCAGCTGACTTGTCAAAGGTAAGAAAGTAAGTGGCAAAACCAGGAAGAGAATTAGGAACTGGCTGTTAAATCTTTATTCCAACTGTTAGACAACATTCATATTAGGCATATCCTTGACACTGGGGCTAAGTACAGACAGTTAAAAAGCCCAAGGCTGAATTGATGCAATCTTTGCAGGTTAGTCTAAGCTACATAGACTGAACTGATAAGCCAATGAACAGACATTCATGTTGATTCTAGAAATGCAGCCACATGCCTGCAGTGGCCCAAGCCAGAAGCTGGGGAGCACTAGAGCATGCCTCCCTGATCGGCTGGAGCAGATAGCCTGGGCTAAAGCTAGCCTGCCCACCCAGGGAACAGGGCAGGAGGGGTGCACTGGCAGGGGAGGTGCAAAGCATTCTGAGATTCGGGGGGACTGAGAGTTAACTTGAATCTGGAGGGGATCTAGGACAGAAGTTCAATAAACCAATTTAACCTAAATCAGTTAAGTCTGATATTACATTCACCCAGATTTATCTTAAACCTGTTTTGGCCATTTTGAAAGTGGTTTATGCGCACTGAACTTCTGTTGTGTTACTGATTTGAACCAGTTTCTGATCACTAATCCCAGTTTATGTGTAAGTTCTGTCCCTAGCCTAGGGGCTACATATAGAATTTACCACAAAGTAAGTTAGGGACAGAAGCTACTAATTCAATGCATGGGCACACTTGGAATGCAGCAAATGTAAAGTAGCTTACTTCACTCCCAAAGTGTGCTGTAAATTTATACCATAGTTTACTTCATGTTATCTTTACCAAAACAAGACAAAACTAATCAAGAGGTATCTCAAGAAAATGGAAACTATGTAAGTATGTAGGGGAGCACTCTGCAAGGAAGGATGAATGGCTCACAGCAAGCAATGGAACATTCAAGAGAACTGGCAGACTCCATTTTCATGCTTCTGTGAGAGATCTTCAGGAGTTGAGCGCAGAAAAAAGTTACTGCAAGGTAACTTGGGGACAACCAAACAGCAAGCCAGCTACTCCATGGTAACTGTGCGTGTGCTGTTATCATGCAAATACCTCTTCTTAGACCAAGGGTAGGCAATTTTTTTGGGCGGAGGGCTGCTTACTGAGTTTTGGCAAGCCATGGAGGGCTGCATGATAAGCAGCCAGGGGCAGATAAATATTAATTTTCTAATTTTTTAGGGGCTCCATGGGCCAGATAGTGTGTCCTGTGAGATAGTGCTCATGTTAAGCAAGGCCTAGCATAATTAACAATGCACTAAAACTCCCAGAATGCTTCAAGGAGGTTGAGAAGTCAGCGATTGACATTCTGGTTTTCACTATCTGACCCTTGAATAAGAATGCTGACAGTATGATAAAAATTGCAAGCAAAGCAGTGTTTTTTTTATAAAATACGGAAATGCAAGGTTAAACCGCAAGAACAAAAACAACCATATATCACGCTGATAAAGTCTGGGGAGTATTATAAGTAGACTATTAGAAATTAACATAAGAAGCGTAACCAATTATAATAAAGAGCGTGTAGAATATAGATGAGTTAACTAGCAACCAATAGAAGTAAGAATTAGAAATGCATATGTATACGTGTTATCATATATAAGTAATAGAAAAGTTATGTTAGATGCCTCACTCAGACAGAGTGGGGACAGTTTTGTATCTTTTGTCTAAAAAAAGATAAGGGATTCCTTTTAAATGATCTGTTGACCAGTTCTGAGACTACTGAATCAGGCAGCCGCACCTAGCCTTCGGGTTAGAAAGCAAGGGCTTGATTTGGGAACCTCGTGAACCAACAGACCTCCTTAGTTTATGACTTTATGAAACAATAAAAGTTTTTAATTGAACATCCAGGTCTGAGCCTGTGCTTAATTCAGTCCTTATATAATTCGGCACGGACTCACACATGTCCTAGAGGGCTGCATCCGGCCCCTGGGCCGAATTTGCCCACCCATGTCTTAGACATTTACTGTTACCATCCAGTAAATATCTAAGCTGAGGTAATGTACCTAGCACTTCCTACAGGATAAGCATACCACACAAGCAGTTACAGTGGAATAATAGCCCACAGGCTATTATTGTTTTAATCCTCTAAGGATAGGCGTTTCATTTTAAGTGGGGGAAAAAATAAAAAATTAAGTGTAAAAAAAAAGATGGGGTACAATTAAAACAGATAGCTCTATGATTTGAGTATTTCTGAACATGAAACTCTGGACTAAATCTGCAAATTCATTACTAGAGATGCCTAAAATTTTGGAAGTGAAGATTTTATTCACTGGAATATGAATATTCAGGTCTACCTCTGAAACCATATTTAATCTGTCAAATCCCTTCACAAAAAATAAAATACCGCCCCCCCCCCGCAAAAGAAAATATCAAATATTTTCGAGGGAGTCCCAATTTTTAAGCAGATGATTGGGACTATTTTATTTTGAAACAATGTGGACTTATTTGTGATTTACCAACATTTTTATTTCAAAAAAGAAATATAACAAAACATATTGTTCAACCAGTTCTTTTTAAATGTACTTTTTTGGTTTAGTCAGTGATCCAAAACAACAATTCTCAAAGGTTTCAGTTGGACAAAAATTAACTTTGAGGAGTCCTACCACTTAATGGAATGCTTACCCTTAGGTAAGGTGCCCAGGCCCTCTACACAACTCATGTAAAGAGTTAGATACCAAAGGGTAGGAATTCACTGGAGGCAGCTAGCTGAGTAGTAGGGAGCTGCCTGCATTAGCAAGACGACAGCATAATCATCTTGGCAAATACCAAATGCACTATGTCTTCCTTACAATGATTGCAACAGTCTGATGACATGTTAAGCACTGGATTTCTTTTTGCAAAAAGATCAACTCAATGAACATTGATTAAAAAATGAGAAGGGGGGTTAAAATTATTCAGAGGAACAATTTTGAGATTTGAAGCAGTACATAAAATTATTCCCTTTTGACTGAAGGTAATGTGAGTAATTTTGTGGTATTCACAGATGATGTGTAAAGGAAGTAAGGATCATCTTCATAATCACAGTCACAGTCTTTATTCTGAACCCTTTCTTATGCTGAGTCCTGGGAATTCTTTTGGAAATGGTGGGTTAGTTAAAATCTTCACATAAATCGATGAGTAAATATGAGACTGAGAAAGAAGCACAGTTTTGCTAATTACATCATGTTTCTTTGCAGTTTAAAGTTACATTCCATAATGAAAGTATATGAAGAGACCATCAGCTGAAGTAGGTGCTAAGAGAATGGCCAAAACCCCTTCTATGCAGAAGAAACAGAGTATTTGGTTCTAAAGATGAGGTTCTACAAAATACCTCGGGGCACTGCTTCCCAAACTTTTCTTCAGCATGACCCCATTTCCTCAGCATGGCTCCTTATTCCTATTTTGTAGCCCTATACCACCCTCAAGTGCCCCTCACTCCCCACCCACAGTTCTCTGGCCCTGCCAGTGCCCCTCATTCCCAGTCTACAGTCTCCCACCCTCCCAGGTGCCCCAGGGCCAGGACCCACAGCCCCATGCAGCCCCCAGGACCTGGCTGCCACCTGTGGGAGGCAAAGGCTCCTGTGGCTGAAATCTCCCCCTCTACTCCCTACATCCACTCCCCCATGGGCAACACATCCAGAGCACAACCAGGAGGGGAAGATGTGCGCTGCCTGTTGCAGGCTTGGGACTCCCTGCCCTGCTGTCCTCCCCCTGGGGGCTCTGCAGCCCAGCAGGATGGACCTGGTGTGAGGGAGGGAGCACTGTGCCACCCTGGCTGGCAAACTGAGGCACTCTCTGCCTGCCTTGCAGCAGCATGGGCACAATTCCACACTGCCACTGCCACTACCGAATCTCACCTGGGCAGCCATGGCAGCATGGCACTCCATTCCATGCCAGGTCATGCCCACTGCACTGTGGAGGTGGCTTCTGCCCAGAGCTAGTCCAGCCTGGCGGCAGCCCCACACCCCACTGTGGGTGCAGAAATCTCCGGGGGGGGCACATGCCCCCTCTGCCATGTCGCTTCTGCTCCCCACTCACCCGCCTCATTGCTTGTGGGCCCCCCTACCTCTCCAATATGCCACCTGTACCCCCCTCCCACCCCGATCCCTGTTTATTGCAACCCCATCCAGTGATGTTGCAACCACAGAGCTAGTCAGAAATTTCTCATAAATTTTTCACTGGAAAGTTCCGATTTCCAAAATATTTTAAAGGAACCTACTCACTTTGACTAAGTGTAACCATGTCAGGTCTAAGACAAAATGTCTGTTCAAAATTAGAGAGAAAGACCCATGGATGATCAGAGCATTCCTGGGGTATGTGGATGTTCCATGTCAAGTCTGAGATTTCAGTGAATCAGACTTACACATCACTGCCCTACATCTCAGATAAGTGGCTTAACCAGCAGACTATAATGTTAATCAGCCTTTCTTTTGATTTCTCCTGTTAGATCTGTCTCAATTTGTGTAAATACTTATATATTCATTAAGCCAGAGGTTCCCAACAACCAGGCCATGGCCTGGTACCAAGTCACGGCGGGTTGGCTGCAGGGTCATGACACAAGCCCCCGCAACTCACAGCCCTGTCTGTCCGCCCAGGAGAGCAGCTTCTGGGGTCACAGTTGAGCTTCTAGGGTGAAATCTGGATGGGGGAGGAGCCCCGGGAGGGAGGGAGGCAGCCAGCTCCACATACCTTGTCCTGCTCCCACTGGGCTGCAGTAAAAAAAGGTTGGGAACCACTTGATTGGGCAACAGGGATAGACAGTAAGAGATACTGGGAAACTCAGTTGCAAGTACCTCCTTTAAATATTGAATTTATACAAGATAAAACAGCTCCAAAAGGTATATACTGACAGAAACCCAGTATAGCTAAAAATTTGGTATTTAGAGAACTTACTGA